GTGTAATTTACTGCTTAAAGACTTTAGCTATTAACTTAATTTAGAAGGCAATTTTCCTTGTAGTATATCTAATAAAGTAATACATGTTCTATATATATATTTATCTACGTGTTTAATAATTTCTTTTTAACTAGTACTTGTTGTGCTACTGTTACCAAGTTCGTATTTTAAGCTAACTTTTGGGATGATGCTATAATCTGATCTGTATTTCAAGTTATAATTTTTTTAATTAGTTATCTATTATTTTACTTCTTTGCTTTTGCAAGGTTTATAACAACTCTAATACCTACATTATAACCATCTTTTTATCTGGATTCTTTATCAGTTTTTTCTTTACTTCTAGCTAGCAATCCTGAAGAGTTGGTTTGCCCAGGCTTATAGTTGTTCTTTCCTTAGTCCATACTTTTGAAGTATATGCCTTTTTTCTTTAATGTGTTAGCCTGGCAGTTCAGCTAATGTGTTCTCTTACTTAAAGATCTGGTTACTTGGTTCTTTAATCTTAAGCCCTAGTTTAAATTCTGCCTTTATGCAGTACTATTAAAAATTACTGCTACTTCTAATTTGGAACTTCCCAAATGAATTTTCTTGCACAGTAATGAACAATTCTTTAAATTTACATAAACTACTTACACAGATCCTTCAGATTTTACTCTAGTATGACTTAGATTATAGACCTCTCTAATCCAATTATCTTATACAAATCAACCATAACACAAACCAAATTTTCAAAAACATCATTTGTGGAATTCAAACCCTTGATCTATTATTTAGAAAGGGTAACAACTAGACCACTTCACTAAGTTGCTATATCTCTTTATATATAATTACTTTATAATTTTAAAGATTGAGAAAAAAATACTTAATTTTAAAATTTTTGATTTTTTCTCTTAAAATTTAAAATTATAAAGCAAATATATACTGATATGATATATTTTTATACATAAAATAAGTTTGCTTAGAACATTAAGGTAGGTTTAATTAGCACAATTTTGTAGATTTTTTTTTTTTTTTTTTTTGACTTTTAAGCAGCTTCACCAGTATTTTATTAAGATTCTAAAAATATATTTGTTTACTTCTAATTTGCAAGTCTGATATTACCCGGCTTTTTTTAAAGATCTGACTAATCTTATAGATGCCCAAGTGCAACCTATTGTACTAATTTAAAATTTTAAGATTAGAAGGCTTATGTTAAACTAGCCTAATTGCTATATCATAATAATAGCTTTCTCTTTTCTTCATATTTCTTTAAATCGCAAGGAATTTACTAAGAGTAAGATAAGGAGAGGAGAGTAAAACAAGAAGAACTAAAAGCCAAGAAAACAAGTAATACAAAAAAAAGAAAAAAATAATTGATCAAGAACAATGAATAAGAAAAACAAAAAAGAAAAAAAACTATATAATGAGCAAAAAGACTAGTCTAATATAAAAACCTAAACTAAAAAAAAAGACTAAAAGACTAGAAGATACCCCTACTAAAAAAACTTCAGGTTATTAAAGATACACTGTTATAGCCTGTGTCAAGTTTAAAAAAAAAATTATATAACAAATACAATATTTGTATATCTCTGTTGTAAAGCTTCACTTTAATATATATTTCTCTTTTTGACTATTCTCAGATATTTTAGCCAGAGACCCCGATTCTGGTCTTGTAAAGTAGCGCTGTATCTATAAATAAACAAAACACATGGTTGCAATCTACTATACTTTTTCAAATTTGGAAGATAAACAATATTGATCTTTTGGAGAGGGTAAACCAAATACTTACTTTTTATCGAAAATTTTGGAGAAACGGCAAAGAAGCAGAAAAGGTGATAGAAGAGTCACTTGAGCCTTTTCTTAAAGAGTATTTATTTTCTTTAATCTAAAGTATATACTCTAACTTGAGGAGAGAGGAGTACAGATAGCTTTTTGTACCAATAAGTGATAAACTCTGAGCTTGTCAGCAAGTAGTATATAAAAACTACTTCTAAATGACAAGTGCTGTTTCTGTGGTAAGTGATAAACTCTAAACCAGTTAGCAGATAGTGTATGAGAACTATCTCTAAATAACAGGTGCCACTTATGGATATCTGCCTTTTTTCACATATTTACAACTATAAATAAGTTTTTTTAAAAATTTTTGTTTATGAAAAATTTGGTACAAGTGATTGTCAGGAAGAGTGCATATTTTGTGGATTTTAATATTTTATATAATTTATTAATAAATTTATAAAAAATGTGATTTATAAATATTTGTTTAGTAAATCTTTTTTTAGCTTCTAAGTAAAGTTGTATAGATGCATCTTGTAATTAAAATAGTGGTTAAAATGCTAAAATCAGTCTAGTAGATTATGAAATATATATATATTTTCTTTATAACTATTTGCTTTATTTATATAAAGAAGAAAACATATAATTACAAAGACAAAAATAGTTATATCTTGTGATATACTAGGCCAATTTTAATGGTTTAACTGCTATTTTGATTGTAAAATACTTCTTTATACTAGGTTACTTAGTAAAGAAAAAAGTTTTGGTTAAAAATCTTTAAAAAATTTTAGTAAATATATTTTTACTATTTACTATATTTTGTCACTAAACCTAAATATATTTATGAACCTTGAACTGAACCTAAACTAAACCAAAACTTTAAGTTCAGGTTCAGTTCAGCTTCATAAATTCAAAGTTCAGTTTAGATTTAGATTTAAAGATTTGCAAAATTTGTAATTCAGATTTAGGTTCAAATTCATTGAATCTAAACTAAACTAAATCTAAAAACTCTACTCAAATATATAAATAGAACCTACAAATAAACAGAGTAAAAAGTCTAAAGCTAATAAGAAAACTAATCAAGAAAGAAAAAACCAATATTTCAAAAGAATAGCCCTAATTCAAATCAACTAAAGAAAATTAAAAAAGCAATCAAAACATTAATACAAACTAGTAGAAAACTCTACTACAGTACACACTCTCAAATCTGATATGTATAGTGAATAGCTTTTGTATTGGTTTTGAGAAATTATTAGATTTAAAATTTTATTTAAAATACCAATAGTTTGCTATTACATAATCACAAATAAATATAATTGGTTAGATTATATTTTATATATATATAATCTGTTGTACAAAACCCAATCAAAGCCAATCAAATGATTTATATTATTTTTCAAAACCAATATCTTATAAATATCTGGTCTTTTGAGTATCAGTTATCAGAAATTAGCAGGTTATTGGGTTTTAATTATGTAATAAACATGGTAAATTAATTTTTTATCAATTATAGCAAGTTATTGGTTTTGATAAGATCGGTTTTGAAAGGGTGTAACCAGTAAATAAAATTTGATATGTGCATGTGCATTTTGCACACTGAAAATTTTTTGCACACAAAAAAATATAATGCTGTGTGCAAAGCACATACAACTTTTTTTAATAATTATTTAAAATAATGTGTGCTATACAATTAGCCTTGTTTTACTGTATTGAACTTTGCACACATTGAATCTAAAATTTGGTGTATATTGCGCACCAAATTTTGACTTTAAACTTTATTTCCTGGGTGTAACTGTAGTATTGTTTTTAATAGTAAGCATGTTGTTAAGATTTAGCTCCCAGAAGCTAGTACAATAAGTTGCATCTGAGCACTCTCAAAGCAGTTAGATAATGTTAGACTTGTTTATTAAAAGTAGTTTATAGTAATAGTTTTTTTTAAATTTAGTTTATATATAATTAACTTAGCTAAGTTCTAGTAAAACCAACAAAGAAATAAAAAAAAAAACTTTAATTATAGTACTAAATAACTTACAAAAGTTTAGCAAAAAAAAAATAAAAAAATAAACCCAAAAACTTATTCAAAAAGTTTAACTATAATATATTAAAAAAAAACAAATACTTATCAAAAAGCCTAATTTGCTTTAGCTACAATATTAGAATCAATACAAAAGTTTAGCAAAAAAAAAAAAAACAAACCATTAAAAAAATAAAAAATAAAGTAATAAAACAAGAAAATTTCTAAGCCTACACTTAGTGATACAAATTGTCAAAAATTTTGCAATCGATTAGTTGTCAACTTTTCGATTATTCGATTTTTATTCGATTTTAATATAAATTTCCAAAAATTTTTCAATCGATAAGTTGTCAACTTTTTCGATTAGTTGCAATTAGTTGCAATTTTCGATTTTCGATTTGTAACACTACCTACACTAGTGTGTATACATGGATATTAATTAAAATCCGGGCAACATATAAATTCATAAAAAAAAACTACTTAATATTAGGGTTAGGGTTAGGGTTAGAGGTTAGGTTAAAGAGTATTTTATACTAAAATTTTGCGTAGATTATTTTTTGTTAGAACCCCAAAGTAGTTTCATAAGCAAATTTTTGAGTAATAACAATACCCCGTGTGTACACACTAGTGTACAAATAGTAATTCTCAAAAACTACTTATTTTTTGAAATTTATTAAGCATAAAATTTTATATATAATTACAGTTTTAAAATTAGTATAATTTTTTTTACAAAATTTATTAGCACAAGACTTATAGAATTTTAAAAGTTATTTGAAATGATTTTATTATACTATTTTTAATATATTTAAGTTCAAAATTTGAAAATAAGTTAATATGAAGATTAAAAAAAATCTTTAGCTTAAAGTTTATAGTAAATTTATGTTTTTATTATAATTTTTATTATAAACTAACACTCACATATAAACGTAGGTGACGTATTACCTGATTTTTAACGGATCCCGCTTCCTAGTATATAGAACCAATGTAACATTTAATAGGTATGCGTGACGTAGTCACTTAAGAATATAGTATAGCTTCTTTAAATTGGAGCCACAGATTAGCTCTATTTGAGGTTGTTCAGTCCACAAATGGCTCGGCTCTAGCCTATAGAGCCAAATAATCAGTTCAGCTTGACTAATGTAAGCTGTGAACCGAGCCGGGTCAGCCGTTTCATCTCTGCTATTAAGTAAAAATCACACTTTTTGTTCCACGAAACAATGTGGAAAAATATAACAATTCACATCTCCCTCAACTTTGCCGCAAGTTTCCCATATTCGGTAATAAATTCGGATTTACGAACAATATCCCAAATTCTCATTGAGCTTCGGAACCTGAAATCAAGAAATACGAATTTTTAAAATTGATGTAACCGTACCGATAATAAATTATAAAAAAGAATTAAATATTAATATACCATTCTTTTTCAGACACCTGGCCTTTTTTACCAGTTTTTTTTGGTAATTGAAATATTTGATTTCTCAAAGATTCTGCCAAGACGATAAATGTATCGGGTGCGTTTAAATAAGTGAATCCAATATACTCTCCTTTAGGGCGAAGGGGCTGATTCTCATATGGCAAAAGAAAAACGTTTGGTAATCGTTTATCATCTGGACACTTGTACATTGTCAATGACTTTGTCATGGAAACAGCACCTAATTAAAATGAATATATCAGCAAAAAAATTTAAACATTAAACCACAAAAGTATCAAATTACCAAAAATTTTCAAATTTGAATCTTGAAACACATTATTCAACAAATCACAGATAGACATATGTTTAGTTGATGTAAAATCGGCGGGCGAAGTTTTATTACATACCAACACTGTGTACATAAAGTATCGTCAAAAAAACAGTGTAAGTAAAATAATAAAAGTAATAATCGAGGGAAAAAATAATTACCGATATCAGGGTAATATTCGACACCAGGGTCCACAGATGCTAATGATGGTATAGTTGGAAATTCTGGAATATGATATTTCAGCATTTCGGCTTTTTTTAAAAAATTCCACATTGTATAATCTATACTCTCAGTGACAGTAATAACAACGTTGCAAACCGAAAAAAGAAAGATAACAATTTGAAGTGACTATCCGAAAAAGCCTTATATATAAGTACGAAATTCTGAATCGAGGTTTTATGTAATAATTCAAATAATTAAAAAAAAAACACTAACCTGTAGCTCGAGCCATAATTCTGGTGATATATTATCAGGAATGTAATCATTCCTCATCGCATGTTCGAGAACCGATAAGCTAAAAACGGGCTGGAAATAAAGAAGCTTTAGAGTAATTTGCATTATCGAGAATATAAAATTACCACCAAATATTATACCTGAGTATCCAAAAGTATGATCCTTTCAGGTGTGATGTGAATATCAATACCTGTAGTTTCATGGCTGGCTAAATTTAGCGTTTCGATTGATTGCGCAGGGAAAGCCTAATATAGAAAGTAAAATAGTTATTCTCCTTTCATCGATCAATAATTTTAAAGTTCAAGGAATCAAAAAGTACTTGATCATACATTCTGCGGATCTTGACATAATGCAGAAATAACAGTAGATTTTCCAACTCCTTGGGGTCCACATACTCCAACAACGAAATGACCCGGAAGATCACTTAAAATCTTTTGACACGTATCAAATAAATAATCCTTTGTTAGAACTAGCTACTTCATAATCCAACATTTCTTCATATGCTAACCTTTAAGACAGAATCATGATTAAGTACACCCTTCTCATTGATCATTTTTACAAAGGGTTTGTCGAAAGGCTTTCCTTTAAAAGTTATTTGCTTAGTCTCTACGCGTGGTGCGTTGGCTGAAGATGCGCGATTAAAAGAATCGTCGCGAAATATGCGAACAGACGGACGAAATATTGTTTGTGGAGAGCTCTCTTCCTCGCCCTTATCCGAAGCCTGTAAAGTTGAAGCACCGGAAGTTTGTGGCCTACGTTCAAGAATAACAGGCGTCTGATAGAAAGTTTTCGAAAGGTTGTCCGGAGTTGGTGTCGTCAATGACCCTGAAGAAGAATCCTGAAAGTCAATCACAAATGTAAAAACTAAATGTTGAAAATTTTTGTAAAAAATAAATAATTAAAAGAAAGATTTTCGTTTACATGCCTTCAATTTTCTTTCGCGTCTTCGACCATTACTTCCTTCTCCACGTGAGCGTTGATCTCTTCCACCTCCTTCCCTTCTTATGTTTTTAATGTATCCATTACTGTTCCCTTCACGAATTCCTCTGCCATTTCTTCCTTCCTCGTTACGGTCTTCAGATTCCCGATTACCGTTGCTTCCTTTCGCCATAAAGTTTTTTAATATTGAACTTTAACTTGCAAGTGATATTCTGCTGTTATATGTCGAACATGACTATTATTCACATCGATAGTGATAGATATCCGATATTATTGGCGCAGTAAGGGTTATAATAATTAACCCTAGCACGGCAGATTCTCGATTTTGATTGGCTAAGAGCGACGATCAAAAAATTAGGCCGGAATCACTCACAGCGATTTATGTAGATCGGACCCTAAAATTGGTTTAATTCTGGTCAAATTTGCAAATCATTTGGCCCTTGAGGACGAGATCCCCAGGGGCCAAATGATCTGCAAATTTGACCAGAATTAACCCTATTTTTGGGGTCCGATCTACATAAATCGCAAAAATCAGTGACAATTTTGTGTGCCACAATGGCTGATTGTGGCTTATATGTTATATGTGGCTTGTGAATTTGCTTTGAAAATTGACCAATAAAATCCATGCTGATCTCTGGAAAAACTATAATTTTAACTATGAAAGTCTTTAGTTGCTTACCACCTGCACCAAATTGGAATTCTTCAAAGGCTGCAACAATTTCTATAGAAGAAAACCTATTCGCCTATGCTTCTTCAAACGATGTTATATTATTAAACGCTGAAACACTTCAGTATGTGGGTAGATTTCGCGGACACACAGACAGGGTGAACGCGGTAGACTTTTGTGACAATCTTTGTGCTAGTGGAGGTGCTGATACCACAATTAGATGTTGGGACGCGTTGACTCAAAAACAAATGGCTATTTTGAAGCATCATAAGGTATAAGCTTTACTATTAGTTTATTCATAATTTTTAATGTAATTTTGACACGGTTTTCCTTAATATATTTTTCGTTTATAATACTAGAGTGAAATCTATGCTTTGGCGTGGGTGAAAGACAAAAAATTTATAGTATCAGGTAAAAATATTTACTGTAAATTCTCGAAATAGCGGGCATGGGCGTTATTTCGAATTTTGGCTCGAATTAAGCTCAATTCGGGCCAAAATTTGAAATAACGTCCATGCCCGCTATTTCGAGAATTACGATATACATCCTATAGTGTTTTTAGAGTATGAAATATTTTTGACGCGTTTAATGGAATATTTTAATTATAGGAGATAAATCCGGTGATATTTCTATATGGAATCCGTCAAAAAACAAGTCCAACAAACTTTATTTTATTCAGTCTCCAATATACAATATTGCACCATCACCTACAATTGAAAGTTCATTGGCAATCGGGTAAACATTTATTCATTTTTCTTTTCAACAATGAACAATTTATTAATAAATTTTTTCAGGTTTCAAAATGGAGCTATAATTGTCGTTAAAATTGACTCTGAATTGAATGGAAGGATAGCGCGTCGACTAAATGGTCATGACTTTGAAATTCAAAGCCTATCATGGGAATTACCAAATGGTATTTGTCATCTAATTTACTTAAAGTTATTACGTATACATCACACGCGATTCACATTACATTATAGGAGATTGTCACACTGCAAAATATACTTTACTTGCTTCCGGATCTCGAGATAAAACTATACACATTTGGAACGTCGAAGAAGAAAGCTCAATAAAAACAATTAATTTACCCCACCCGATGCACCATCTTACCGACCAACAAAAATCACGAGTGTGGGTTGCTGTAACATGGATCCCGAATCGTAATAGTGTGATTACAAGCTCATACATGTTTGTATAGTGTTTGCAGAAATTATTTTGTATTGAGAAGTTCATAGACAACATTTTCTTACCTAGTGTTATCATTTCATTTGTTTTCACTATAACTAAACACGCCTAAAGGGGTGACTTACTCATATGGGATTTAAATGTTTCAACTACGAAATATCAAAAATTAAGTGGCCATTCTCGAAGCGTTTTTTCAATTGTGATGTATGCATGTGGTACGAAAGCTATAACAGTGTCGATGGACCGAAAGGTAACTTTACATCTCAGTTCATATATTATTTTCTTTGATTGAATTACAATTCATTCATCGTTCAATTCTAGATTATTCTCTGGGATCTTATCCAAAAAAAACAAATTTTTACCGTCTCTTGTATTCACAATTACGTTAGTGACATTGACGTTTCTGTAGTGGATCCACATAGGCTTGCCATTGCAAGTGGTGATAATAATATCCGTGTATGGGATATCGCGAATAAGCATGATCCATTTAGCTGCACATTGTATTGGAAGGGCCTAAAAAATAAACTTACATGCGTAAGCATTTAACCAGCCTTTCAATATTAGTACTAAATCTTAATGTTGTCATAATTGTTGCGTTAAAAATTATATAGATAAAATGCCACCCAAATCGTGAAGGGTTCCTTGCATTTGGAACCGATCTGGGTAATATTGGCTGGTATGAAATATATAACGACAAATCCAAAACTTTCAATTCTTATCATAAGAGCAAGGTCTATTCTATCCATTGGTGTAAACCTGAATGGCTAGGTCTAGGTTCAACAAATGAGAATTCGGACCATAGCTTAATTATCAGTTGTGGTGGGAATGGCCAAATACTTTTAAGTGATACTACGAAACCAAAGCAATCTATGATCGTAAATGACATGATAAAAGATGCAAATCCCGAGTGGACTGCGGTTATGAAGGTAAATTCTAACGGCATGTTAAACATCCAACTAGTAATTACCACTGTTAAATAAACTTTTTGTGACTTAGGATAAGTCTGGTTATCTACCAAAACGTACCGAAATTGCGGTTCACCCAGCGGGTAGATTTCTTGCTATTGGTAATTTCGATGGTAGCATCGAGGTTTATGATCTACCGTCATTTAAAATCGTTTATCATAATATCGGCCATCGATCCATAATCAATAAACTTGAATGGCGTCATTTAGGTATGCTAAGGCGATGGTTCCTATTGAAGTTCAAATGCTTGATAATTTCAACAAATTTTCAATTTCAGATGACGTAGGAAATTCATTTTCCCTTGCGTCTGGAGCAGATGATAATTTAATTATGATTCACGATTTTTCCGATTTAAATAAATTGATTTCTACAAGTAATTAAAATTCAGTATCATTTTAAATCATTATTATTGTTTTCTTTATTAAATTTATTTTTATAAATAATTCTATGGTTTTAGCTACTGTACCAACTTCTTCATGCAAACAAGTCCTTGAAATGCATAAGAAAGGAGTAACTGACTTATCTTGGAGCCCTTCTGATGCTAACAAATTGGTCTCTTCATCGTTTGATGGCACTGCTATTGTATCTATCAAACAAAATATATTATATATGTATTTATTTATTCCAACTTATTTTTATCTAAGCATGGTTTGAATTATATTAGGTGTGGGATATACAGCATGGTATTCCAATTTCTATATTTCGTGGCCATCATGGTCGATTATTATGTACAGTTTGGAGCCTAGAAGATGAAGATGCAGTTTTCACAGGTGGAGACGATGCTGCATGCTTTTGCTGGAAAATATCTGAAAATTTGTATGAACACCCTAAAGGTATCACTTGGTTTTGGCTTTTATTTGCAAAAAAAGAAAAGGGTTCATAATTATTTTCATAAAACAGATTTCAGTTCAGAAATTAAAAGTGACATCGTCCTGTCTGATGCTGTTACAAAAGATAATATATCGCAGCCATTAGCTGAACCTACTTTAACGACACTCGATAAGATAGAACATACGACAACGGCAACACATGCAACGACAGATACACCCGAGCCAATTCAGAAGGCTGAAGTTCGCGCATCCAAAAAAAAAAAGTTTAAGAACCTTTTACCTTTGGGAACATCTCCTTCTCGAAGAAAAAATCTTCAATACAGCACTTTTGATATTGCAAGAAAGTTATATGGTGGTGATATAGCAAAAGCAATGGAATTTTGGGTAGATAATGAGCATAAAGGTCAAAAGCTAACCGATGAAACAGATAATATCGATATCCAAACTCCACCATTTGTAGAACTGTTTTTTGGTGAAGGAAATAAATCAAGAAAGATAATTGAACAAGAAAGTAATTAATGATATTGCTAATATAATTATTAATACATATATGTTTTTTAGATGTAAATTCTAAATTATTAATTTTTATCAAAACTTTCGTTATATGTTCAGTAAAGTCGCATAATAATTCAGGAATTTCTATGGGTCTAGGAGGCTTGGAAGTCGGCCCTGCTTTGCCTTTGCAAATTTGGTCTAATAATTTTGCTGAGCTGATTAAAAATTATGAAGATAATGAGTTTTCCAATAAAGATTGGATACTTCTTGCCCTTAGTCCATTGGGTATTTTGTCTTTCTAAATTAATTTATAATGTTATTTGTTAGAGAATTTATAATTCTGATTCTTTATCTATGAATCAATAATAGCTGGCCGAGATGTATGGCAGTCCTTGGTACGCCTTCAAGCTGAGAAACTTGTAGCCAAAAACGACCGTCATGGTGCGGTTTTATGTTGGTTGGCATGTGGAGAAGTCTATGAGGCTGTCGAAGTTTATCGCAAAGCTGAAATGTATCGGTAGGTAAAATTAAATTTCCAAAAATGAAAACAATGAAAATCTTAATTTTATAAATGTATATGATTTTAGTGAAGCGATCGCTTTAGCAAAACTTCGTTTGATCGATGAGGATCCTATCTTTTCGGATCTATATAGCTTATGGGCTATTCAATTAGAAAAAGAAGAAGCATACGAACAGGCTGCTATGTGGTAGTTACTCTAATGAATTATGTATTATGATACTGTGTTTATGTTTTAATGTACTCTATTTATTGCTAGCCATTTAGCTGCGAAAAAGGAAAATTCAATTCATCATGCATTAAACGCTTTATCACGTCGTGGTGATCCCTCAGCATTACGTACTGCAGCAAGTTTAGCATTGATGCTTGGGGATTCGTCTGCGGAAGAAAGAATATCGAGATATTCTGAAGATCAGGAAATAAGAAGCTCTAAAAAAAGTAACCAAATAGAATCATCAGATAATGTGAAACAAATTGAAGAGTAGAACATCGCATACGAGTTAATGAAAAAAACATCTTAATAATGTTAATTTTCGATTAGCAACCAAAAAATTAATAACAAAGTTATAATAAAAAATTTCTTTTAATTTACACTAACACGGATAAAAAACATGGCTTAATGTAGTGTTGTTGCAAACGGGTCCAGTGATTCTCACTGGAATTGGAAAGCTCACTAGAATAATTATTGGTTCCAATGATTAGTTGTCATTGGACTCTTCCAATCTTTTTTTTTTTTTTTCTACCGGATTATTGGATGGAAGATCCAATGAAGATGTGGTTGGTAAGACTAGTAATATCATAAGACTTAGGGATGGCAAATGTTTTAAAACACCATGTTTTAAAACATGTTTTAAATGTTTTAAAACATTTAAATTTTTAATAAAATCAATAAAAATCAAATATTTATTTATAAGCCAATCAGATTATAGAATTTTAATCATATGATTATGTCTTATCTAACCATCTGAAGTTGTTACTTTAAATATCTAAACAGCATTTGGACTAGAACTACATGTATAAAGATCCAATTTTAGAGCTTAATTTTAGTTTATTTATCTAAAGTAGCAACTTCAGATAGGTTGCAATTTTAGATGCAATATTTTTATATAATATTAATAATAAAAAACATAAAAAATGGTTTAAAACATGGTTTAAAACATAAAACACAAAAAAATAAAAAACATGTTTTTTGCCATCACTAATAAGACTTTTCTTATACTATAGAATGCAAACAAATATATGGCGCAGCACATTTATACCAAACAATCGCGACTTGTTTCAATTTTTTTATACAAGATGTTTTCAAAAAATGGCTAAATTTTATAGAACTCTATAAGTTTAATAAAATTATTGATTAGTTTTTCAAAAACATTTTGAATAAAGAGCTTTATCAGTTTAAAAATTAATATTAAAAAATGAAGATTTATATATAAAGCAATAGTTTATTTAACACCTGGGTGAGTTACTCAACCCTCTCAAGTACAATACAATATGTATGGTTAGGATTAGAATTGGGATTAGGATAAAATTGCTAGAGAACTATTTTTGTTAGTTACACAACAGGGTTGCCCTAGTAATACGGGTGAGCATCACCCTAAATAATAAATTTCTCAAAATTAAAAAATTTATTTGGGTGCCTCGTATTAAAAGGGCCCATTTTAACAATTTTCAGATTTTTGAATAGTTATAAATTCAAAAATGTTTATTGGCGCAAATGCGAAAAAATGTGCACAAAAATAAAAATTTATACGCGCGCTATATATACGGAGCACTACTATACGCGCAAATTTAAATCTATGTACGCTGCGCCTACTGCGCGAACCCAATTTACATCACTGGATATAACAAGAAAATTGAAAATTTTGTTTCCATTTGTAGATCATCACTAAATCTATTTACTCAAAAACTGTTATTATTAATACCGATACGAGGCGCTTACAAAATTTAACAAAAAAAGTTGGTATTTCATTCATGATCACGCCAGATCGGCCATACTTGACGACCGATCAGCGGAACGAGGGATGATTCTATCAAACATTCCGCATAAAAAATGTGAAAGATATCCGATATCCCTTTAGATAAAGAATTTATTTAGAAATCAGAATCATTACATAAAAGTGTTGGATTCTTGAATCATGTAATAGCAAATCCATTCATATTATCAGAAATAAAGATCTTGATGTCCATGTGTTACAAAACAATTGTATAAAAGCAAGCTAAACAAAAATTATATAATAAAAAAAATATTTTAACGCTCAAATAATTTATAATAAAAATTTAAAAAAATTTTTTAATAATTAAATAGTATATACTGTATACTCTTTTTTTAAAACACTAAAATTTATTAGATTACAAGGTAAAAAAATATTTATTTTCTAAACCAAAACAAATACCATTTTTTAATTATATATTACATAAAATTTTCTAATCATTAAAGAAATTTAACATTAAAAAAAAAAATTTTTTTTTTTATATATACAAAATGAATTCTATAAAATTCAAGAAATTTTTTTTTCACTATTTAATTTCAAACTCAAATATATAAGATCTATGGTCTATATTTTCGTTAAATCAAATTAAATAGTAAATAAGATTAATGTCTCTAATATTCTTCACCACTTGATAATTCTCCGGATCTTAATTCACCACTAAAGAATGCTCCCAAACTGACTATACCGTCATCATAATCATCATCATCACATACTTCGTTACTATCACTATCATCATCATTATCATGTGTTTCTGGATCATCATTTGATGCACCATTAGTTCTTCGTGATGAAGTTTTTCGTTTATGGTGACAAGGTTTTTCACCACCTGTACTAACGGTTGCACCTCGTTGGTGTAGTGTTGGAGGAACGAATTCATGCAATCCGTATTCACTAACTCTCGCCGCACTTAAATATATTGAAGCTTCTCCCCAAAATCCAACAACTCCAACCCCACCATCACTTGATGTTAACGCCCGAGTAAGTTTAACAGTATCTTCAATATTAATTTTTTTAAGAGGATTCTTGGGTAACCAGAGTCTTCTAGTCAAATCTTTAACAAGATTAGGATGTGTATATGTTTGATACTGTGATGCTTCATCTTGAAGTTCTTCACTATTAGGATCATACGTTACAACTACAGGATACATATTCGATCGTGAACTTCGTAAAGGTGTACGTGCAACTCCTAGATCAGAACAGCTTATGGGAGATGAGGTCAACACTGGTAAGTTTGATGGATTTGGATTCGGAGGGGCAAGTGTTAACTTTAGTGAAGGTCTCTTAAATACACTATTTGATGTACTACTATCATAACCAATTTTTTCATCATTAATATTATTTCGTAATATTGCCGCTGTTTTTGGAAATTGGATTTGTCGAGTTCCAGTTCCATAATCGCTAGTTTTCTCATGTTCAACTTTATCGATTGAAGTTTGAGTTAAATTTATAGAAGATTGTAATGGAACATCATCATTGGCATTGTTACAACTCGGTCCTTTTAAAGTACTTTCATCAGTATTTTTTGAATCAGTGTTTTTTGAGTGCATATTAGTTGAACTATTATATTTTGTACTTGATTCACTATCAGTACCATGAGATTCATCACTTATTACACGTTTAACAAGTACATTATCAGCACTAGTTTCTATCATTTGTGATGATGAATTCTTATTATCAGCAGAACCAATATTGTTTTCATCGTCTCCTTTTGATGTAGATTTTATAGAACCTTCTGATTGATTTTCTTTAATAGTTGATAAAATTTCTTTATCTTGCTGTTTTGAACGAGTATCTAAAGCCAGATAATTTGTTCTAGAATGAAATGTCTTATGACAATAATATTTAAAATATCCAGTAATTATTATAAGTGGTACAATAAGAGAGCCTTGAGTTATTGCCTTGCGAAGCCAAATTACACCAAGAACAGTTAACTGAAAAATAATTAATCCATCAGTAGTGTAACGAAAAACACGACGATAAAATTTTCCTCCAGCTTCATATTGTCTCACATAACAATAAGCAAATTGGTGTTTAAATACTACAAGGGCAATTCCATAGTATGCAAGTGCAAAAACCAATATCAAAGGATTGATTGTTGAATAAGTAATGGTGATCACAAGAACTAAAATATGACAAGGGTAATAAAAATAAAACTGAAACGACCAAGGATTCGTCACACGTTTAAGCATACGAGGAGTTGTGGCTATGAATCTGCATGTAAGGATGAGGTGGAGACAAAACTGCGGTACAATTTGGAGAAGTTCAATACCATGTGTACAAGTATTAAAAACGATATAATTTATGAAAAAAGTTGCACCCTATTATTTTTATAAATAAAAAAAAAAGTAATTATTAATAATTTTAGAATTTTTTTGATTATATCATTGTATGTTAATAATGTTAATAATAATTGTTTAAATAATTAATTACCTTAGGCAAACTAGTTGCAAGCAACTCGATAATATTAGTGGGATTATTGATCACATCAAAAATTGATTGCAAAAATGTAATACCCAATAAGAATACAATGAAAACGTTGAAAAAGGAAAAATGATAGAATCGAACTAATACGGCTTCTTCCAATTCTGAATAAGATGTGAAACATTCTTGTTTTGAAATTTCTATCATGTACGAAATTTGCCGTGAAAGTCAGTGAAATGTAAACAATTTTGAATTAAAGTATTAAAGTATTAAAGTATCACAGGTGAAAGAAAACATACCCATTAAAATCCAAGGTAAAATTGCCATGAAGAATGAAACTAACACAGTTGGTAAAACGTTTTGAAGCATAGTACGTATCGCAGGTGTAGCTTCCAAAAATGATCCCAAGAAAGAAATTCGTGAGGAAAGTGAACTAATTGATGTTAGAGTAAGAAAAGCCACTATAGGGAAAAGCCAAAAGATTGTCAAAGCCCTAACGAAATATACAATTAGATGGTAAGAAAGAATAAACAAGCATTTAAAAAAAAACAATAATAACATAACTTAAGCTTACCAAACGCAGGCATTAACAATAACATAGCGAATCATATTCTCTCGAAACTTCATGATCAAATTTTCCCAAAGTAAGTCTCTTGGTTCTGGAGCCATTCTAGTAGTACATGTATGTGGAATTGAACTTATAATGCTTTGAGCACATATTTGGGCACTGATATGATCACGAAAAGTTACAAAGCCAGTATCCGTAGGCTTGTAAGGACTAGCGGTAGCATTAAATGGCATAGAGCGCAATTCAGCGATGCGACGATCCAAATAATTAAATTTTTTAAGAAAGTGGTCAATCGAAAGAATCTTTCCACCTTTTATAAATCCCATTCTACGAGTGGGTTGAAACCTATCAAGTACAGGCTTAGATATATGAAAAAGCGCATCCCATATGATAAATTGACGACCATAACCATCCTCTTGATTCATAATATCTTCACTAGGAGTAGTAAAATGTTTACTTTGATCAGATGAACTTTGAATTTGATTATTATCAGATTTCTTTTTACGAGGATTCAACCATTCAACAAGTGATTGAATTCTTTGATGTTCCTTTGTTTCACCAGCCTCTAATATATCTTGAGAAGTCATATTATTACGACCAAATAGTCTTGACCAATTACCAAACTCAAAAAATCCCCGACCTTTAATAGTATTACAAACATTTTTTGCAAGTTTTATATGAGCTTTTTCAAGTAAAAGTAAAGCATTCTCTCTCCTCTGAATTTTTCGATCTAATTTTCCAGTGTATCTCACAATTCTTGTAGATTCTACGGGACCCAAACCTAACCCTTCAACAAATTCTTGAAGTTTTTCTTCAGATCTCAAATCATGAGGAAGTCTAGATACCATTACAGTCCTAGCAGTGATAGAATCAGTCACCACTTTTTTTAAAAGATGGTCTCTATGTAATATCATGTAATCATAATAATTTTTATATAAAAGATACATCCAGCTAAAGCTAACTATATATGTGCATATCATATGAGCCCAAAGTGGTTGTGTTTTATTGACGGGAATATTATTAATGGAAAGTACTTCAACACCATCACTAGTACCCCCCGCAAAGTAATTTGTTGGTATAAGAATTATACCAACAACAAAAACATTAAATAATATAAATTGAAATGACATTCGAAGAAATCGAATATACATTAAAGCGTCAAGACCTACACTTTTTAAATAAAATTCGTCTGTCAAAAAAATAGTGGCTTTTATCCAAGAAAATAATCCTTTAGGCATTGGTGGGGTTGCATTTCTTTTTCAAGAAAAAAAATAGGTTCAGTTAGTTCATTCAATATTTTTTTTTTATTTTTTTTAATTAAAATTACTTTTTTTTTAAATTGCTTACTTTGATAGTCTTGTACGGGCAGTATAGAGATATTGTAAAGTTTTTTGACGTCTATTCCATTCAAATTGTAATAAACAGTACAGGGAAATACCAGCTGATATTCCTAACTGGGTTGCTAGACCAAGAAATGTGGGGGTATAATTACGTGCTGTGTCCAGAGTAGCCATATTCAACGGCTTAGATGAATTACTCTGGATCACAGTTTATTAAAAGCAGCCTTATATTTTTTCTTTAATCACCTATTTCCTACTTTTTTTTTTTAGATTAAGGTCTATTTTCAAACTATGGCTTCTAAAAAAGTTAGTAATTAAAGTTTTATGATAGAAACAAGGAGTCTATATATTTCGACAAAGACGCGTTTAGTCTGACGCTTTATTTTGTCACAAGGAAAAATGCGTAACGGTTTGAGTATGTCAAGTGTGTTACTAAATTTTGAAACAAGCAATTGAAGTGTTTTGTGCAAAGACGCTATCACTTCGTTTGGGTATGTTATAGTAATTTTACGATAATAGATACTGTATTAATTGTTGCACAGATGGCTAATTTTTTTTTATTTCTTATTATGTATTTAAACGTTTACTTACCTGTTACGTACTGCTGTACTGTATGTACAGTACGTACGCTGTTACATCTACACGTGATTATAATTATAAAAAAACCTGTCAGATCGATCTTTCTTACACCAAATAAATAAATCGGATTTTACCACAAAGTATTTATTTATCGTTATAGAATTGTAGCAATTCATTCATTACAGAATTAATATTCAAAATTCCATTGTCAGATATTGTATTTATGTAAGTCTATCAAACTTTAAAAAAAGAAACCAAGTACGAACGAATTATATACCTAACAATACTCGTTGTTACAATAATAAACCTGTATTAAATTGTTGTTTTGAATGAATATTGTTTTAAATGAATATTGTGTATAAAGCTAGAAACAAAGTTGTGGAGCTCTTATTAAATGTTTCATTTATTTAAGTCATTTATGACAACCACTACTAAGTTGGCTTAGTGATCGATACAAACGTTTCGAAATTCTCGAAAAAGGTAGACAATTAATCAACCCAAGTATGATTGACCGATCGTACGATCGATCATCTACAGTAATGCAGTACATTATATTAGATATGTTCAATAATTTGATAGTACCAGTATGTACGTACATACGTACGTCCGTCCGCACGCTAATAGTACTGTACTTGCACGCACATCTAGGGTGTAGCCGATCGAAATGTGAGACAGATTAACCGAAAATTCCTCATAAATTTGGTCTAAACTCTCCTTCTAGTATTTCTAGTCTAAACTCTAGCATTAACGCGGGACGATACAATATTAATTAATTATAACCGGTGTCTCACGTTTCGGTCTTGCTAGAATGTACGTACTGACATATTTTTTAAAGTTATTCATAACGCACAATTTGCATATACTTAATTTCACGAAACTCGAACGACTTTCCATTCATGGACTTTTATGTTTCTGTGATATTAAATCATCATACTGTACAAATTACATACATTGTTTTTAACACGTAATAATTTAGTATCACTGTCAACTATAAAAATTATCCAAATATGTAGAATTTTTTTTACGAACAACGTAAAGATCACCAATCCGCATAGTGGAATAGATGGCCAAATCCGTGCGATATGACAATTTAATTTATCCATTGAGAAGAGAAGTTTGGATGGAGCTCAATGGATAAGTATTCATCGAGCCCCGTTGGCTCCATTACCAACTCTGAGTATAGATATTACAGTATTATGAATTATAACAGATCAGTATGATATAATTTTTAAAAAATGTGTACAACCATCATATTGTTGATCTCTAAAATGCCAGAGTTACGCAAACCAGATACATTCATAATTAATTTATTGACAGTATTATTTGGGACATCCCAAACTAGTTTCGGTAGTTTGAAGATACGGCACATGACGAAATTATCGGGTTTGGATTACTTTACCACTAGTCATAAGCTAATGCCGCAAACTTGTCGTAATTATAAGGAGTTATCCATTTTTTGCCGTTATTTCATTATAATTGCGCATTACGTTTCACTATTAATGCCGTAGAAACTAGTTGCGGCTGTGTGTCGAAAATGAGACCGACTGTGACGAAGGCACAGGAGGGATATTATCGCGAGGATCACCTGACCTCATGATCATTGAAATCACCGAACCTAGTGATGCCGATATGAAGTCATAGGTTGAGTAAGTTACATGATTATGAGGTCATTGATCTTGCGAGTCTAAAGTATAAGTAAGCCGCAAAATTAGTAAGGGAAGTTGTGCTTTTCTTTTGCTGCTTTTAGTAGTTGCCCGAAAACCCTATTTCTGGCTAATCGACTGGTTCTCCCACCCACCTCTCCCAAATAAATTTAAGGATTAGGTAATCAATCAAACGTGCCACAACACATCGATGCTTTTCCTTTGCTGCAGCTGTGGAAACCCCACACTGCTCTAGGAAGTAAGTGAAACAGCTGTGAAAACCCCACACTGTTCTCGGAAGTAAAAGCGAACCAGCTGTGTAAACCCCACACGGTTCGGAGAAGGAGGAGTATGGAACAAACTGTGTATATTCCGTAGTTCGATAAAGAGTAAATAGAACATCTTAAGGTGTTAAAGAACCGCACTTGGGTAACAAGCAGCGGCACTATTCCCATAGTTTTCTTCATGATGTATCTTTGCGCATATTTGAATTAAGTATTTGATATTGAAACATGTTATATTGAATTGAAATCCGAACGAAAATAATATTTAGGTCCGATTTTTAGAAATAAAGCCGCAAGCAGGGACACGGAAATTATGTGATTTAGTGTAAAAAAAAGGTAGTTAGGAAAAAGTTTTTTGACTATAATAATAAACTCACTCATTATTTAAAATTTTTTTTTCATGTAATAAACTACCTTACTCATCTTAATGACAAACTCGATTGATCGATTAAAATTATTTTCCGTTAATTAAAACTTAATCTTCGACACATTTTTGACATACTGTACTTTGATCCATTAATTGAGGAGCTTGAGAATGCCCTAAATCAGTTTTTGTTTAATTGAACGCAGTATTTAAAACACTGTTTCTTAAATGACGATGATAATCATGTTTTTTTTTTTTATGATAAATTTTTTTTTTTATACTCAGTTTACATCATTTAAATCGCATTTTCATTTTTTAATCATCAGTAAATCGAGCAAGCCGCCACAAATCTAAATATTATATGTATTCTAACTGCAATATATTATTGCACTTACAGAGGTAAATGTGCATTAATAGAAGGAGGGTTGACTGTATATGTTATAAACCAACAGTCGCCATTATAAATTTCAGAATATTTCAGGTTTGGCCGAAAATATTGATTGCGGCACAAATTTTAGCTTTTAAGCCGTTTGAAGTTAATTTTTCGGTTAACATCACTTTCCAGAACTCTCGGAGAGGGGGAGGGGGCAAATTAAACGAACATATAAAATGAACAACCTATTTTTAATGTAGTAAATCTATTATAACGAACTGACTTCAAGCTAGAGATTCTAGTTGAGTTGCTAATTAGGTAAGATAGATTTGATTCAGTAGTCAACATTACATTCCTATTATAAAATAGAGAAGCAAAAATAAATAAATAAAATAATTAATTAATTTTATAATGCATTCATCCGAGAAAAACAACTTCCATGAAAGTTAAATGTTTATTTAAATATTCATTAATACTAGTTCTCTAGCTCTTCACAATTGAATAAAATATCAATTGGAAGCTATTTTTTCAGCAGTTTTTCTTGAATCGTTTTATCACCAACATATATGAGAATAGGAACTAAAATTTTGGCTTTATTTTTTATTATTTATTTTTTTTTCTCTTTTTATTATTTATTTTTTTTTCTCGGTTTATTTTTTATTTATTTTTTAATTCACTTTAATTTTATTTTTTGAATTATTTATTTTATTTTATAAATTATTTTATTTTATATTTGCCGTATAACCGCAATATAGTGCATGGGGAGTTATTTTGAATTTCGGCCTGAATTAAGCTTAATTTAGGCCGAAATTCGAAACCACACCCCATTGCGTTATTTCGTGGTTATACGGTATTTTTAAATTTTACTTATTTTTATATGTCCGGTTTACCGGGGGCATCAAAGGGGAGGGGGAGAGGTGATGTTAACCAAAAAATTAACTTCGAACGGCCTTAATTATAAATGAAGAAATGTGCGTCGTTACTCACGTCGATTATAATTAGACCTTAATTTCATTACTTTTCTTCCATTTTCATTAATGTTGGAATTTACACGACTCCCTTTCGAACTACTTTATTCAATTTTTCATGAACTTGAGGTACCAGATTTACTTAGTTTCGCAAGAGTTTCACGTTATTATAAAATCTTATCTGCTGACAATGGAGTTTGGAGTCAAAAGGCTTTAAAACATTGGGAAAATAAAGAGGGAATGAGAGGAGTATGCGAGAAGAATCGTGGATTTTGGTTTAAAAGTCATGGTGTCTGGAAATGTGTTTATGACTTAGTTGAGAAAGAAGCAACGGGACGCGAATGACTTGGTTGAAAATACTTGGCACTATGCGGTAAGTACGTCACATAAGTCTATTTTAATATCGAGTTACGATTAAATATATATATTTATCTAATTTAAAATCACTTTACAGCCTAGATAATCCCAGGGACACGTTAGTAGAATTCTATCAAGATAGCACCTACATTCATCATCTTGAACTTTTAATCCGTTCTTTTCAGTTTGTGTTATATAATAATATATTTTTTTAATATTTTTTAATGACTCATATGTTGAAATATTATTTTTTTAAAGTGGTCCATTGCTGGCGATGGATCTATATGTTTGAACCAAAATACCTTTAGATCATACAGGTGTCCTAATTGGAATTTAATAATCTCAAAAGACTACTTAGTTTTTAAATCATCCAGTGCTGAAAGTTTTAAAAGAAAATTAAAAAAATTTAAATTGATTGATCCCGTGAATGATAACTTAATTTCAGACAACATTTGAGATAGTCATAACACATACTATATATATATATATATCCTAACTCAGTGCTAATTAATATACATGTGGGTTAACTGACTGAAATTTATGAAACACAATGAATTTGAGAATAATAAAAATATTATATATTTATTCATTAATTTTCTTATATTTTGCTAAAAATTCCTCTTGAAATTTTCCTTGTTGTAAAATAATAAAACAACATATTTTGGATGTGACAATACTTCTTTTAAGGTGCAATTCTTGCCAATTCTGATTAACTTTTGTTTCTTTTCATTTCCTGTTGATATCATACAGTATATTCGTAGTAAATTTGTATATTATTTGGTGTATATTTATGTTCAATGTCCCAAGGTGCTGGTTGTTCAAAAATCACTTCAAAGATGTTCTAAAAATGTATTTCCTTCATTAAATGCTTCAATAAAATCCGATTCCTTATATTTTAGATATAGGTCAAATTAATTGCTGAGTTTCTGTATCTAGATGTACTAAATGAGATAATATCGATGTATTGGATATTGTTTCCATTTTAATATTACGCATCTATTAATAAAATTAATTTAGTTTTTTTTTATTAATTAAATAACGTTGGTTAAACATATAAATCTTTTTAAACCTTTATAGCTTTCTCTAATATCTCTTTTTTCTCTCGTTTTTTTCGTTTACACTCTTCTTTAATTTTAGCTTTTGATCCAATATCTCCTTTCGTTTAATACAAGTCTCTTTTAATTGTTGTAAGGCTAAGTTATTTGGCTCTATCTAATAATATTATACAAACATAATTAATTATGAAAAGATTATCTTGCACATTATATACAGTATAAAAAAATATTAATATTTACTTCAATTCCATGTTCACAACAATCTAAAGCTTGATCAATTTTATCAAGTGCATATAAAGCTTTTGCAGAATGATAAAATGCCTTGATATTTTGAGGTTTTAATTTAATAGCTTTCGCACAATCTGTAAGAACTTTACGATAATTTTCTATAAAAATATTCTTGAATAGTAAATATAATAATAAAATTAATAGATGTTATTACCCTGATGAAAAAATTAATTTTATAATTTACTTACGTAATTCTAAATTAACAGCTGCACGATTTGTTAAACATGCTTTAATGATTTTATTGTCTTGACAATTTGTTTCTAATACTTTCGTGTAAAAATTTATTGCATCTTTTTTTCCTGCTTTAAAATATTCATTCTCCTGATTTTTAAAATTCTCTGCAACTTCTATAGAATTTATAAAAGATTTTTAGTTAGCTTCTAAGATAAAAATTGTCCAAATTTTAGACTAAAATACCTTCAGGTGGACCCTCATAAACTAAAGATTGTAAAGCCGCAAGTGCATCATTTTCTTCTTCTGGTAATTCAGTCATGAATAAAGGAACTTTATTCATTTGTTTGAGAATATCTTCTTCGGAATCTCTTTCAAACCCGCCATCAACTTTGGTCTTTCTGGGCTGATATGTTAGACATTTTTTATAGATCTTGAACTATCGCTACGTATACGTAATTTAATCAAAGTTGTCTTAGGTTTTACTTGTACATTATTAACCAATTAAATTGCGAACTTCTTGTAATACCAAAAGATTCCATTCTTGTTACTACTGTTAAACGTGAATCAAAATCAGAGTTTGCATCTTTAAAATAAATAAAGAAATTTTACCCAAAATCTGACTTTTAATCTTTTAAGCTAAAAAAAAATAGATTACACGCAACAGAACGAAACATTATAATATTGCTAAACTTCTACTAAGAGGTATTATTCAGCATTTAATATTTTACTCATGATAGACTTACCCTTACAGCGTGATACAACTTAATTTTCTGTAGAGGCATTCACAACAAAGGTATTCTATTATTGAAGTATGTGCCTGATACAGTACTTGTTTTTATTATGTTTGCTTATACATAGAATTTTCAATTTTACAGTTCTATGCATTATTGCGTGAAATATATATTAAACTATTAATTATGTTATTTATACAATTTATGTTGTGTTATCCTGATTCTAACTACCCCAGCACTACAAATTCAGGTACCTGACAGTATGTATTTATATGTCAACACGTCAACCTGATCTAGAATAAACAAAATTTACACGTTTAAAGCTTAGTTATTTCTTTTTTGGATTTGTGTACTTTATTTTGGTACTATTTTGGATTGTTTATTTTTAAATAAAATAAATTTTTTTACGTGTTCACTTTATGGATTTTTTATATAAAAAGGCATGAAAAATCCTTTTGAAAACTTCATGATTTGAATAATATACTTTTGTATTAAAAAAGAAATATCAAATATTTTTATATTACAATGCCAAAAGAATTTAAACACTTTCAACCTGAAGTTTAACCTGTACTCTGCCTGTAAAACTAGAAGAAATTTTGGTTAAAGAAATTTTAAAAGATAAGTATAAATTTATATAATTTTAATAGTTATAAAATTTTGATATATAAATATTCTATAATACTAATAAAATAAATCTATATTTTTTATTTTATAATATAAAATAGTAAAAACATATCTGGGTTGAAAGTGTTTAAATTGGCATTAATAAAAATATTTAAAAATCTTTATATAAAAACAAAGTTAAAATCAAATCATCACTTAAATGGCATGCCATAAAATACAAGTTACTCTTTTATAATAAATAAATTGGCAAAGAGATTTTCTTTATAAAATACTCTCATTGTGAACCTCTTAATATAGTGAATTTACTAAGACTCTCAAAATAAAAAAGAAAATCTCCTAGCCAAAATATTTAATTATAAATAAATTAACTTGTATTGAGAGTCATATTATAGTAAGTAAATTTGCTATAATAAAAATTCACTATAATGAGAGTATTATAAGAGGTTCACAACAATGAGAGTATTATTATAAGAGAGGTTCACTATAATGAGAGTATTTTTTTTTATATACGTCCGTATGTATATATAATTTATGTACTGTACAGTACGTATACAATATGGCATGCATATTTTTATTTAGCCAAATTACGCATTATTCGTTAGGAGTTTAGTGTAACAAGCATAGTTTCCGATAATGCTTGTAGGCTGAAAGCTGTACCTGCATAATTTAGAATGCTGTATAACCGCTGTAAATAAATAAAAAAGCA